CCAACTAATCAGCAGAAGTAGAAATGTTCTCAAGTGGTTTCCAATTGGACAATGACGTTCAGATCGAAATGAATTTTTACACTCAGTTCCGATTCAAGAATATCTATTTGAACGGAACTAGGCTGGTAAAGCACTTTTCTTTCGTTAGAAGTCTCTTCTTTTCTGGACTTAATGAATGCCAAAATTGTCCAAAAGTTTGTTGGTTGTTTGACGCTTTCGGCTAAACTGCTATCCATTGACAACGATTGTCTGTCGTTATACTAAATGCTGTAAAAATGTCATTTCACACTGTATAAAACTTGTTGAAAAAAGTCATTCTTAAATTCCGGATATGACTAGAAATGATATTGAAAACACTATTTAAAAGTAATGGAAGTCCCTATTATTGGACTCAAAACTCTTTGGGTCAAGTTTTGGATTTAATCAACCAATGGTTTTATCCACGGGAACATGTGGGAATTAATTAGCGCTTACATCAGCGTGCATGTCTTTTAAAGCAGCTCTCAGAAATTAGTGGAGAAATTTGTTTAATACAATCGAAAGTTTTAAATATGCATAAAAATATTAAATGAATCATATAGTGATTAGTTTTGCTCACAAATAGTGGCATTGAAGTCTTCTTTAACTGACATCTAGTCTAATTACTTTTATTGAGTTTGGCAGCAAACCCTCTTTAATACATGTTCCATTAAACAAGGTTGATAAGGTATTCTTGTTTATTTTTTGTTTTTCTTGTCTAGGTCTGAATACCTTCCTTGATTTAATAAGGGAAAAAATCCAAATATATATATATATATATATATATATATATATATATATATATATATATATTACAATGAATCATTCATACAAAAAGTAGATTAGTAAAGTTAATGATATAAAATTTTATGAAGGGATTTCGCCATTTTCTACTTTTTGTATGAATGATTCATTGTAATATAAATTGAACTACACCGCATAGTTGATATATATATATATATATATATATATATATATATATATATATATATATATATATGGTGTCTCTCTATCTCTCTCTCTCTCTCTCTGTGTTTGGATGGCAATCGCTCTTTAATAAATGTTTCGTTGAACAAAACTTACAAGATAGTTTTGTTAAATTGTTTAATGTTTATCTTGTATACGTACAAGTGTCTTCTTTTCTAGTGCTAACGTCAGCGTGCATGTCTTTTAAACCAGCAATATATATATATATATATATATATATATATGGACAGCCATCGCTCTTTTAATACATGGTTCATTGAACAAGTCTTGCAAGATAGTTTTGTTAAATTGTTTAATGTTTATCTTGTATACGTACAAGTGTCTTCTTTTCTAGTGCTAACGTCATGTGCATGTCTTTTAAACCAGCAATATATATATATATATATATATATATATATATATATATATATATATATATATGGACAGCCATCGCTCTTTAATACATGGTTCATTGAACAAGTCTTGCAAGATAGTTTTGTTAAATTGTTTAATGTTTATCTTGTATACGTACAAGTGTCTTCTTTTTCTAGTGCTAACGTCAGCGTGCATGTCTTTTTAAACCAGCATATATATATATATATATATATATATATATATATATATATATATATGGACAGCCATCGCTCTTTTTAATACATGGTTCATTGAACAAGTCTTGCAAGATAGTTTTGTTAAATTGTTTAATGTTTATCTTGTATACGTACAAGTGTCTTCTTTTCTAGTGCTAACGTCAGCGTGCATGTCTTTTAAACCAGCAATATATATATATATATATATATATATATATATATATATATATATGGACGTACAAGTGTCTTCTTTTCTGGACTAGAAATTTTCCAAAAGTTTTTGGGCTAGCGCTTTCGATAAACCGTTAGGATTATTTTTGCTATGCAATTATAATAAATGCTAGGTAAATGTTATTTTAGACTGTATAAATGCTTCTGAATGTAGATATTCTTAAATTCCATATATGACCTGAATTGACATTGTAAACATCGTTTAAATATAATGGAAGTTTCTATTATTGAACTCAGAACACTTTGGGCCAAGTCACTTTTGGATTAATCAACCAACGCTTTTATCCAGTGGGGACATAAGTGAATTAAATAGTGCTAACGTCAGCGTTCATGTCTTTTAAACCAATAATATATATATATATATATATATATATATATATATATATGGACGGCCATCGGTCTTTAATGCATGTTTCGTTGGACAAGACTTACAAGATAGTTTTGTTAAATTGTTTAATGTTTTTCTTCTGTACGTAGAAGTGTCTTTGTTACCATTGTTCTTTCCAGAAAATATCTTGCATGTCAATACGTCTAACATTTGTCCATGCTTTGAATACTGCGGCCATGTCAGGCTCGGTGATCTTGCTATATATTTAGAGATTCTTGATAAAATCCAAAGAATCATCAGCAATATTATTGGTCCTTCATTGGTCCTTTATTCATGGTAATTATTGGGATGAACTCTTCGCTATGGTTCCTAGACTTTATGAATTTAAGTGCAGTACTAGATTGGCAGCTAGGTCTCATTAATTTACAGTTGAATTAGCTGGGTACAACCTATGTTCTATGCAGTTTCTTGCACGTCCCGATTTAGAACTCTCTTCTGGTTCCATGCTTTCCAGCCAACTTTCGTCTTCAAAGATTTAAATGCAATATCAATCGTTATCTACTGTCTTCTTGATAACTTACATATTCTTTTCTCTTCTTAATAATGGTTTTCTTATTATTTACTTATTTTGGTCGTTCATCACTCAGTAACACCTTGTGTCTTACTAGCTTTAAGGACTTCCTTCGAGTGATATGACTCAAAACAATAAGCAAGATTATTTTGGGACAAGTCACTTTTGGATTAATCTTCTTGAGCTACAAACTGCCGAAATCAGAATGAAACACGTAAAGAAGAAAAAATGCTAGAAAAATCGACAGGAAATGTGACGCACAGTCCCGGAATTGAGTTGGAATAGCTGAAGATGCCTTCTAGAAGTTAAATCAAGTATTAAGAGACATAGAAAACAATGACATGGATAATTAAATGCGATTTAACATCCATCCGAGAATAGGGCAGACAATTTTCTCACAGAAATCGACATCATTCATGATTAATTGATTCTCAGAGTCCATTTTGACGCTTTTAATACGCCACATCTCTTTATTAATTAATATCCCCATTCGATTTAAACACTTTTGAATTAAAATGGCAATCTAATTTAAATAATTAAGATAAAACCTCTGAATGGATTTTCAAATCAGTTTATCTTTTTTGTTATGTAATAACAAAATGTCTCCCTCTATATTAGGGAATGTTTAATTGTTTTTTCACAGACAACGAAGAGGCTTAAAACAAAAAAAAAATGTTATTCTACTGAAGGATGCTGAGAATTACATGGAATGAACGGTGAGTAGCGTGTAGGTTTTTATTGAAGCGGATATGCAATATAATTGGCCCTGTTCTGGCATCTCGTCTACAGTTGCTCTCTCACAGACGCGCCGTCACCTCTCTCTGACTTTTTTTACAAATACGTTCATAGCAATTGTTCCGAGGAGTTGCATTCGCTTGTTCCCAGACTTCAGGAGTTCAAATTCCCTACGAGGCTGGCATCCCGCTCTCACCCCTTCACTGTCGAAACTCCTAAATGTAGCCGTCTCTTCTACTCCAATAGGTTCATGACTCGCAACTCCCTTCCCTATTCTAGTTTCCCTGAGATCTATAATCTCCAGCTATTCAAATGTAATGTCAATCGACATATCCAGTTGCCTTGATCTATCCACTACCCTTCTCCTCATCCTTTCTTCTATTACTCCTATCTGATCTTGCTCCAAATTTTCTGTAACCCCTTGAGTCCTAGTGGCTTCTCGCCTTGCTTGGGGTGAAACAGGAAACTTATATTCAGAATTAGAAAGATACACTTGAAATTCATCTGACACATAACGAGGAAAAGGGCTTGGCGAAACTGACACTCACAGGAAAGCAGCAAGTAACCGAACCAATGAGATTGTGTAAATGTCTAGCTGGGCAGGGACTGGTTCTCCCTAAATTTCTATTCTTTCTAGCTCTTAGTAAGGTTTTTTTTTTTTTTTTTTTTTTTTCATAATCGCATCTCAGTCTCGGTTCTAACTGGACTAAAATTGTATTTTAAGATTGAAGATCTTATTTATCAATCAATACATTAAAAAAATAAATAAATTCCATTCGTTTTGATACTTTTTTCATTATTTTATTTCGACAAAAACTGGTTTCATAATATTGAAGAATTTACTTACAGAAGCGCACTTGTAAGTTTGAAGAGAAATAAATAACAATCATTTCGATATCAGTTTCATTATTCTATATCCGCTAAAACATGTTTTTTTTAAACCTTAGACAAATGTTGTAATGTTTAACAGAAATTTCCTTCATTCTGAAGAGAAATTTCTTTCATAGTAGTTACCAGTTTTTATCTCGTTAAAAATATTTTTGGCCACATTGAAAAACTTACTTATCAATCAATTCTTATAAATACTTACCAAGAATAACAACCTTCGAACCAAATTGGAAAGACAGTAAAATTTGCCAATGTTGGACATAACTCAAGACCAAAGAAAAAGAATTTCAAGAATAAATGAGATTTTTTTTAACTAATCAGCTTCTCGGATTAATTGGTAGGTTTGCTTCCCTGAAGAGGCGACGTCCTTCTATTGCAAAATTATGCTTAGGGAAACGAGTCAAAAATCTAGAATTCTGAAGACTTTCGTTTTGATTTCGTAATAATGAAGTGTCCTCTCTAAATTAGTTAGCTATGGGAATATGCCCCGGTTGATACCAGTACGATGCATCGTATATTATTTAAAGAGGAAATGGGAGCTGCCAGATTGTCCACGATGCTCTAAGTGCGCCATGGTTCCGCTCATTATATACTTTATTTTTCCAAATCCTTCTTCCGCTTTATCCTCATATTTTCTCTGATCTCTTCCTTATTCACGCTTAAGCCCACATTACGTTGAAACACCAGTTTCCGTACGATTACCAACTTTAAGCAACGTCGAGCCTTGTCAGTACCTAGATGGGTAACCGCTTGGGAACAGCAAGTGCTGTAAGCTTGAATATGTGTGTGTGGTGTAATGGATAATGGCTCGGAATTGGAAATCGGAGAGCTGAGTTCCAATTCCAGTTGGATGTGTTATATATTGTTGGGTATATTTCCTACTTTCTTCCTCTTCGTTTTCCTTTCTTCCTTTTGACTTCTTTATTTCTTTTCTTTCTTTTCTGACGTTCTTTTCTCTTTTTCTTTCTTTTTTCTTTATTCTTTCTTTCATGTATTTACTTTTCTTTCGTTTGGTTCTTTTCCCCCCTTTCTTTTTTTTCCACTTTTTCCTTCTTATCTTTCTTTCATTTCTTTTCTTTATTTTTTTCTCTATTCTAATGTTTTTCTTTTTCTTTTCATCTTTGTACCTTACACTTTTCTTTTTCCTTGTTTCTTTGAGCTTTTACCATTTTTTCCCTACTTCTATATCGGTATGCTTTCTTCTTCATTTCTCCCTTTCGTTCTACACTAGATCCTTCTTGCTTCTCTTCAAACATTTCTTTGTCATCGTCCTGTCATATACGCGTTTATTTGTCCTTTTTCCTCTTTTCTTTTATACCTCTTTTCCATCCGTATTGATCATCCGTTTTTCTTTTCTTTCAACCAATGACATCCATCATTCACCATCTTATTTCATATTGCTTTGTTCCCTTATCTTTTTTCTTTTATTACTACCATCTTTCCTTCTTTTTTTTTTCTCTTTCACTTCTTGTACCATTCCCTCAAATCAATAATTTTCAACTACCCTTCTTGGATCGCCATGGAACCTACACCTACCGTCTTTTCGAAACCGATACCCTCCCTAGCCGACCAACCATTCAGTATTCCCGTCCGTTCGCATATCTTCACCAAAAACACCTCACACACCATATATAAGCCACTGGCCGGGTAAGCAAAAGTGACAAATCACTTCAACATCAACGTCTCTCTGTCGCCACTTCTTGGTTTACGTGATTCAACAGAACTTATTTTGTCAATTCCTTCTCAGCATCTCAAAACGGCAGAAAACCGTGCTCTCTGCAGACCAAGCAACGGGACATCGGAGAGAAAACGTCGTTACAAAACGCATCCGTATTCATTATTCATCAACTCTATTCAAATAAGGTATACATGCTATAGTGTCCCAATGAATAACCTTTATGTCTCTTTCGTGTTTCGATGGCAGGGGAAGAATAGGTCCTAATAAAAACACAAAAAAAAAGATATAAAGACTTAAAAAGAAAGGAGCCGGGTGCTTTATTGTGGGTGGCGACAAAGTTTATGAATGATTTAGTTAGAGTCAGATATCTGCTACACATACTGATAAAAATAGTAAAAAACTAGACTTTTTCTAGATTTTTGACGAGGCTTAGAATACGACGACTGCATTCCATACAGACGAGTAAATCCAATAAAAAAATGAGCTAGCTATCACTTAAATCTTTATAAACTCAGATATCATAGAGCAATATTTGTCTAACCCTGAATCAAGTAAATCCTTATAAACTGAAATATAAACGATTATATTTATCTACTCTTGTATCAATTAAATCAAATATAAACAAAGAATAATTGTCTATTCCTGAATCAAGAAAATCCATATTCACTCAAATATAAGAGACAAATATTTGTCTAATGCTGAATTAATTCAATCCTTATAAACATAAATATAAAAGACCATTATTTGCCTGACTCTGAATCAAGTAAATCCTTATAATCTTAACTTTAAACGATTATATTTATCTACTGCTGAATCAGTTAAAACTTTTTAGACTCAAATATAAAAAAAGAATATTTGTTTACGACCGAATCAAGACAATCCATGTTGACTCAAATATAAAAGACCAATATTTGCCTGACCCGTAATCAAGTAAATCCTTATAATCTAAAATGTAAACGATTATATTTATTTACTGCTGAATCAATTAAACTTTATAGGCTCAAATATAAACAAAGAATATTTGTCTACGGCCGAATCAAGAAAATCCATACTCATCAAATGTAAACAACCAACTTCTCTACTCCTGAATCACTTTAATTCTTATAGACACAAATATAAACAACAGATAATTGCCTATCCATGAATCAAGTAAATCCTTATAGATTCGAATATTTACGACTAATATTTGTCTACTGCTGAATCAATTAAATCCTTATAGACAAAGATTTAAACAACTAATAGCCATCTCTGAATCAAGTAAATGCTTATATACTCAAAGATAAATGACTAATGTTTGTCCACACCTGAATTAATTAAATTATTATAGATTTAAATGGCAAATATTTACCTATCCCTGAATCAAGTAAATCCTTACAGACTCAGATTTAAACGACGTATATTATCTCTTCTTGAATAAATTAAACCCTTATGGATTCAAATTTAAACGAATAATATTTGCCTATACCTAACACAACTGAATCGTTATAGACTCAAATATTAATAAGCAATATTTGCTTATTCCTCAATCAAATAAATCCTTATAAACTAAAATGTAAACGGTTAATATTTGACTATCACTCAATAAAGAAAATCATTATTAACTCATATATAAACGATTTATATTTATCTATTCCTAAATCAGTTAAACTCTTATAGATTAAAGTATAAACGGCTATTATTTGCCTATCCTGAATCAAGTAAATTGTTATAGATTCAAATATAACCTATTACTATTCCTGAATCTTGTAAATGCTTATAAACTCAAATATAACCGACTATTTGACTATACTTGAATCAAGTATATCCTTACAGACTACTATTTTCCTATTTCTGAAACAAGTAAATCCTCATCGACTAATATTTGCGTATCCCTGAATAAAGTAAATCCTTATAGACTCAAATATGCAGGATCAATATTTACCTATCCTCAAAACTAGGTAGACACATACAAACATATAAATGATCAATACTTTCCTAGCTCTGAAAAAAGTAAAAGGTTATAGACACATAAATAATCGATCGATAATCGATATATATTTACTTATCCCGAAGTAAGTAAATGCTTGTAGGCAGAAATATCAACAATAAATAAATACATATTCCTGAACCAATTAAATTATTATAAACTGAAAGATATCGATTTTCGCTTATTTGGGACAAAAACGAAATGCTGGTTGAAACCGAGGCTTATCGACGTTGACCCTGATCCGTATCTAAATGGATGACCACTTGAGAATACCAGATGCTGTAAGCATGGATGCGTGAGTCGTATAGATAACGGCTCAAAATAATTAAGCTTCCCTGTGCCTTTTCTGTAAATAATCCCATGGTAATTGTCTGACGAGTTTTCCTCTTCGGTATCACGACATTACAAATTTAAGCGTAGTAGCATACAGTTGATTTTGTATATATAGCCGTAAGACCTATGTTAACGTTTTCTTCTCTCGCACTTCTTCCTTGTGGAACTCGCTTGCGGCCTCTTGGTTTCCAATCAAATTTGATCTTCAAAAGTTTAAATTCAGTGCCAGTCACTAACTTCTGTCTTTTTAATTCCTGTTCTTTTATTGTTCTCACTATTTATTAATGTTTTTCTTCGTCTCTTCTGCCGTCACACTCAGTAACCCATTGCGTTTTAGCAGCTATATTACCTTGCTTTGGGTGAAAGGATTAAAAAACAAGAAGAAAAATGAAGGAGAATTTTGCGAGTATATTAGATTCATTTACACGAAAATACCAATGAGAAATGTATAAATTCAACCATTTCCCCATAGTTATGGCTTAAATAGTAGAACAGACTGTATCCTATAAATTTGTTTGGCAACGACTCTTCAGTAAGAATAATCGCAGAATAATGGGGGAATTCCTTTGCCAATTTAATTATGCCTGACTCCTAATGAAGAATTCACGATATATATATATATATATATATTTTTAATTTGCAACTTTTCTATATATATATATATATAAACACACACACACACACACATATATATATATATATATATAACCAATTCTCGAAACGAGTAAACACACACACACACACACACACACATATATATATATACATATATATATATATATATATAACCAATGTTTTCGAAGATAAATAATCCTAATTTGAGATATCGTAAAAGTAACAAAGCCAACATCATCAAAGTGATTTTATTTATTGTTGTTCTGCCTTTTCCGTAACCATTTCCTTTCTTTATTTTATTATGAACGCGGGTATTGACGAAATATGTCTTAGAATCTGAAAATGACAACATGTGCAGAGCAGAACTTGGATTGAACTCAGTACTTAGAGTAATCCTTTGCGAGAAAAAGCCTTTCACCATTTCAAATCATAAGAGGTAGATTATTATGATTAAAACTTTAATTATATATATATATATATATATATATATGTGTGTATGTGTGAGTAAAAGTATATATATATATATATATATATATATATATATATATATATATATATAATTATTTATATATTATATGCGCGGTATTTTATTAGAAAGCGCTCAATATCAGAGATAGAGCTAACATATTTGTTGGATAGATGTGAGTTTGTGAACTGGGCTCTACGCTTTTTGCGATCGTCAGACAAACTGATTAATTTTAAAATTTTGGGTTTATGTATATTGGTGTGTATTAGATGTGGGGGGGTCGTCGTCATTGATGTCACCATAGCAACGCAAACATAGATGCATGTCCGTACACCCGATGAAGTACGCAGACACACATACACACTCGCTCGTCCGCCGGGGCTCATACAAACATAAACGTAAGTGGACAATATATATATATATATATATATTTGAAATCATTTCATCACAAACAAAGTGGTAAAACCACTAGAACACAAAGGGGTTAAAGAGATCGAAAGTAACTGAGTAAATCATTGAGGAATGAAAGAGGATTTCAGGAGAGAAGGTGATGATTGACATTTCATTTGAAATGTTTGAAGATCAAAGTTGACTCGGAAGCAAGAAATTGGAATAAAGTTCCGCAAGTACGAGGTGCATGAGAAGAAACTGTTAGAGCAGGACTTACGGTTACATCTAGCCAGGCACAGGGAACCATCTTTCCTATTAGCAGAGC